GGGGGGGGGGGGGGCGCAGCCGACACTCACCTTCACCAGCTCCGTGTAGCCCGTTTCTTTCGGGGTCCACCACGGCTGGGCTTTCAGTCCATTCACATTGTAGAGCGAGCGCTGCCAAACAGACGCAAAATGGCCCCTCTTGTGTCCCAGCTCATACCACTTATAGGCCTGACATAAGAGAAAAACGAACTGCAAATGAGCTTTTATTAATTTTCAAATTAAAGCCACTAAAAAGAAAGTATTTGTGACATTTAAAGAAAGAGCTTGCTAGTCAAGCGCCCAAATCTCTTACACTGGTGAAAACACTGATTATTTCACTGGGTCTCTGGTCATGACCTATGATGACAAATGAATGTGGGTTTTGTTTTCAGCCTTAGGCTGTAGGGTCTTTTAACACAGGATCCATGCGACACGCACTCTGGTCTCCCTCAGTGTCCAGCACAGAGTCTAGGACTAACCTGTTGAGCAATAAACAATTTTAGACACTAAAGTAGAATATGTATTTTAGCTTTCACATTTTAAATTCGAAGTTTCCTTTAGAAAGGATTAGGATTTTGATAATTTCTTCCAAGGTATTTGCACTTACTGAACTGGAATGCTAAAATCGAGAGTTCCTCCTTTTCACGTGTGTTCTTTCCACGTCTGCATTTAAGGTCACCCATGGGAACAGTGTAAACCCTCCATTAAATTAACAGACAAAAGGAAACAGTATTCTGAGTTGGCATTAATATAGTGATAGCCCGTGTTAAATTCTTTTAAAAGGGGGATTTTGTTCCTTTTTTCCCCCTTGCCGTTAGGATACCACTTGTGGCTTTAGGCCAGCTGCAACATGATACGACTGGCCTCCAGGACGACTGCCCTTTTCAGGGACAGCTGGCTGCAGAGTAGCTGCTCCCTGTGTCTCCTTCAGAGGATGGCCCGGCCACACGCCCTCCTGGTGGCCCTCCCCACGGGTTTCCTGCGGGGCGCACAGTCCATTGTCCTCAGGGCACAAGAGGATTCTAGTGGTTACTCAGCAGTAACCCTTCATCATTACAAGTCTGATCTAATGACTACTTTTGAAGTGTGGTTTCAAATGCACATTTTGATCAATTAAGTGCAGCCATTTAACATCAAGCAGCAGAAGAAGAATATCTCATAAAACTCCAGATATACTTTAAATGTAAACTATATTAACTTTTAAAAGTCTTTTAAAATTCATACTTCAAAATTTCTTTCCTGAGAAAAGTCAAGAGTGATAGCAGTACCGCCTCACAGTCAGAAACTCTTTAGTTTACTATTTGCTTTCATGTCCAACAACTGCAAATATCGCCGATTTTCAAATGTTAAAACGGAGGTTTAAAAAGGCCAAAATCTTGAACTACAACCCGTGGAACCTGGCAACTTTCCCCACAATCCTTCCATCTTTGTGTCATTAAAACTACAAAAAAACCATCAAAAGTGATACTTATTTAATTATCTTTCTCAATAACAGGTTAAGCAAATAATGTACATGCAAACATTTTTTGTTTTCCCTTGAAACATATGTAAATTGTAGCCATAAAGTAGACACTTTAAAAACCAGAAACTTAAAATAGCTAATTGTCTAATTTTTAAAAAGAATAACATTTTACCTTTGAAATTAATTTGACTCTTTTTATTAGTTTTGTCCGATTTAAATTTAGGATTTTATTTTAGTGCTAATGCGAACAACAATATTAATGGCAGCAGATTATTTTTCAAAACTCTTAAAAGTCTATTCACTTTTGAATCACCAGCAATTCATTTTCTTAAGTAGGCATATTGTTAGGATACTGAGAAAAAAATTAAAACAGCAGCCTTCAGAGCTCCAGTTGAGAAGTTCAACGTCTTAAAGCTTGGCCCCGGCCTTAACATTCACCGCGCTAGATACCTGGGCAGGTCACTTCGCTTACAATGTTGTCTTTAAACCCTCTAAGTTCTTTCCTGACACTCAGAAGGTAGTCCTGCTGGACCCTGATTTTGGTACCCCTCTGCCATTTAACTTGTAGAGAAACAAACCATGACAATGATGTATGAGGAATTTTTTAAATTACTCTTCAATGAAATCAATGAGATAAAACCATTTTCCATTACAGAGAGGACGCAATGAATTCAGCCAGATGGCCTTTANATAAAACCATTTTCCATTACAGAGAGGACGCAATGAATTCAGCCAGATGACCTTTAAAAAAAAAAAAAATCTAAACTACTTTTTAATAAGAATTTGCAAGAAACTCAAGTTAGAATCATCTGAAAATGTCCTTTTTATTGTTCCCCTTTTATACTTCTAATCAAGAATACTAAATTAGAGCACCTGGGGGCACCTTATTAAATGTGTTTTTTTACTTCAAATTGGTGCCAGGTATGGTTACACACGCGTGCGCACACACACGAGACACAGAAATGTTGAATGATGCCAACTCGGGAAAGCCCAGGCTCCAACAGGCATGTCATCTGTTGCCCCGGCCAGAGCCTGCTCTGCCTGGAGCTGGGTGTGCAGCGGGGCCTGGGAGACACACTTGTGGTGGGAACAGTGGCCGCAACAAGCCTGTGGGGGACCGTGAACGCCATCGCTTGGAAACAGGACTTTATTTTTATTTTGCACTGTGGGGTGTCTGAGCATAAGGTGGCCTGAAAGAAAGGCAAGGCTAAAGCGAGAAACAGCAGCCAGATTCTTACAGCCATCACTGGTGTGGAAGGTGACAATGGCAACACTGACCGAGCAAGAGGGAAGGCGACACGGGTGCCAGAGACACCAGGAAACTGACTTCTCAGATCCTGGCCCTGTCTACACCGGAGGCCCCTCCACGGAGGAAGGAGCTAGAGCTGATCCACATCGGGATCCTGGGAAGTCGGCAATGCCATCAAACGAGGGATGGACCCAGGAAGGAAAGGGGGTTAGAGGAAGACACGCAAGCTGTCTTCGTGACATTGTGTGGCGACACCAAGCAGGCAGCAGACACACGAGTCTGGGTTTTGAGTGGGAGGCGAGAGCTGGAACGTGGATTTGGGAGTTACGGAAATGCTAGGAACAGCTGAGGCCAAGTGGCTAAGGCTTCTGTGGTTTATCCCCCCCTTCCTATCCAAACAAAACACACCATTAGAAAAACCTTCCTCCAAAATAATTTACTGTCAGCCTCTGCAGCACAGGGGCCATGAGTTTCCTTCCCACACGCTGCTTCCTGAGACGCAAGCTCAGGGCATGGCAGTCAGCTCACAGATTCCACCCCGGGTATTGAGAATATTCCGACACACACGGGCTCCTGCAGGCTTGTTGTCATCCTACTGTAAGGACGAATCCTCGCCAACTTTTTAAATTCAAGAACTGTGCTGTCCTGCGCATATTAATAATAAGTAAGCTGACAGAACAACAGTCTCATAGGTTCAAATCCCAAACCCCGAACAAGCGTTTCGTAGGGAATTCTTGGCCCTTGAAGTGAGGGCTGTTTTAATCTAAGATGTGAGAAGAAATCAGACTTCTTTGATTTGTCTTTGCCCTGGACCCTGAGATGTTCAAAGATAAATTAATTAGTGAGAATTACATTAATAGAAATCAAACATGAACATTTATCCAGCGTCAGATAATGCAGCAAAATCTTTCTTATGCCTCTCACTCAAAGAAGTATCAGGATCTACATCTAAAAGAAGGAAGGAACACAAAAGTGATTCTCCCTTATTTCTCTTCGCCTCTCATACCTCGTTCTGTTTCAGCTGACTGACTGGCAGGTTAGAGGGGGAAAGGGACAGGTACATAGACATGTATAAAGAAAACAGTGTCAGTTGTCCAAATCTACCCCAAATTGGTTCCTGTCTCTGGATGGCAATTACCCCATCACAATACCCCTTGCTCCAATGAACCTTCAATTGCCCAAATGGTCCCATGTTATTAACCTTAGAAATCTGAAGCTGTGTTACCCTTAGATATCACTTTATTACACACACGGAATGCAAGAGTTACAAAGGCTCAGTGCCTCACTTCACCTTTTTACCCCTGACTCTAAGGAGAGCCCAGCCTAGGCCAGGGGACGGTGCAGGGCTTACGGGGCCGTGGGCGTCGCTGTCCAGCAATGTCGTGTAAATCATGGGGGATTGACTGGGAGAGTTTGTGAATTTATATGTTACGATTAGTGATCTAATGTTATGTTTAAAGAAGCTGACACTGTACCCAGAAAATGTAACAACTACAAAGAAAATACGTAACCTGTTTTAGCTACGACATTTTCTGTGTCAGTACCTGTTACTACCATCCCTACAGGTGTTCATCTTAAACTCGGTATTAACTACTTCAGAAGGTAATTTACACAATTAACCAGCGAGCTCAGGAATCAGTTGAATAAAGACTTCATTCTAAAATAACTACTTTTTTAAGTTCCAAAATAAAAATAAATCTAAGCAAACTGTTAAAATTTTTAAAAAGTATTTAAACAATTTCAAAGATAACTCTTTATTTCATACTTTAAAAGTGTTTTTCAAGGTAATGTCTACCATTCTCTCTATACACACACAGAGATATACACATAGGCACACACGCACATGCACACACAGACACACACACAGACACATGAATTTAGAGACTGCTCTCATGATTACTCACTCAGATACTTTCTTGAAAGAAACTATAGAAACCAAATCCCCAAAATTTTTCATAGGGTTAAGTAAGAGTTGCTGGGTTGTTTCAAAAGAAGTTTAAATCACCACCTTCAAAAATTTATGCTCAAAATATGTTTTCAATTATAACTTTCTCTTAGAAATAACTTACCCCTACTCTACCCACCTTTAGAAGAAAAATTTCACAAACTCATTACCTCTTTGTTCCCAACCCTCTGCATGGCATCTCCCAGGTGAAAATAAAATCGCCCGTCATCAGTGCCAGGATCCCCAGATTCTATTCCTTCCTGTAGAAAAGACAGCGTCAGCATTTATGAAAGACTTAAACACCACATTCACTTCACTGACTTACTTAATCTTTGTATTCCATATGAAAATCAAAGAACCAGACAAATCCATCTCAACATTAAAAGTTTGGCAATCAGATTACTGGTCAATATTACAATGCAAAACCCAAAGGAGGTGCTAAAAGTTAAATTTCACAATACATTCATCAATAATCATCAGCGGATGAGCCCACAAAATTGTACAATGCCTTGTACATTGTCTCTATGGGTGTGATCGTATTTCAATATCCCAAAGGATTTCTTTGGCCGGGTATCGATCACATTTATTTTGTTATGTTATATTATCCAAATCTAGACATCTGTCAACTAGAGGCTTTAAAAAAAAAATACCTGAACCAAAATATTTAGAAGTTGCTCATATATGTCTGAAGTGACAGGGACCAAACTGCAAATGGTATTTTTCCCCTCTCCAAACAAATGTGCCCTTACCTTTTAACAAAATAGTTTAGAAAACATATGGTAGGAATAAAGCTAACTGTGAATGTTTGAGAATGTAACTGATATTAAACAAATTTTATTCTAAAACACTTAGCTGATATCTATCCCCATTTCCCACAAAAAAGACTAAAATTCAGATTTACATTTTAAAAAAGAGAGAGAAAATATTAAAGAGAATAAATTTTACAAAGTAAAAGGGCAAAGATAAAAATATTTAAATATCAAGGAATTCTTCTTAAAAATTCGCATCTTTGAGACTTTTTCACAAGAAGCCCATTTCACTGGGAAGAAATTTTATTTGCAAAATGTTGAAAAGCAGCTGCAAGAAACAGGAGCAGCATCACTCAGGAGATGAGAGTTGTGATCTGGGCTCTTGACTGACAGACGCTCAAGTAAATGTCCTCATTTGTTAACTGAAGCCTGCCCTCTGTTTCCCCACCTCTGAAGCAGAGAGAGTCCTACTAGGCTCTTATTATGTCAAAGGAAACCTAAGGGAACACCTTAAATCAGAGAAATACACATGCCCACAGGGTTGTCACAGGGATGAAAGGTCTGCAGAGGCCCCGTGACAGCCATGACAAGTTGTAGGGTGCACGTCTACCTCAAGGGGACATCGCTGCTTGGCTCCTGTGCTGGGATGTGGACCAGATATGACTTTTCATAAGAAACCAGAAATCTGCATAATTATATGAAATGTTCAGATTCTCAACAGAGACAAACAATTTAATTGTTTTTAATAGAGTTATATTCGCTAAATATAACATGCAAGGCATTTGCAATCAGTGGGCTGCTATTTGGTGTCTCTGATTTAAGTCATGTGAAAGGAAATCATAAAAGTGTAATATGCTGCTACTTAAAAAAAAGGTCACAGGCATTCAATCAGCTACCTGTCCAATATGGTAGCTGCTGGCTAATGTTACCTCTTAATTTAAATGAATTAGAATTAAAATTAAAAATTCAATTCTTTAGTCACACTAGCCACATTTCAGGTGCTCAGTAGCCAAGTGCGGCCAGTGGCTACCAGAGTGCAGAGTACAGATAGAGAACATTCCCACTGTGCAGAAAGTTCTGCTGGCAGCCCCGAGCGAGACCAGCTGTGAAACTAGTTAGCTGACAAGGATTCAACTGGATATGAGAGAAAAAAAGACAGCATATTTTAACCTCAATATTTTGACTTATCAGGCTTTTTGGAGTTTGACCTATGGGCCTGCACTTTTTACCTCACTTTGTATAGGTTGCCATGATCCCTAATCCAACTAGTTTCAATGTATAATTAAATTGTGAAGGGGACATTTAATTCACTGCCCATTTTAAAAAACATTATGTCAATAATTTTGGTCTACCTTTGACATTTCAATAAAAACGAATAATTATTGCAGTTTTAGGAATTTCTTCATAAAGCCTTTTCCAAAGAGTCTCTGCTCATATAGCTGGTATTTCTGCATTCGACACTTTAATCACGGTGAAGGTCCACACTGGCCTATGAATGTCCTGGTCAGAGGACGCACGCTTTGACCAGGAGGGGACGCAGCGGTGCATGCCAATCAACCTACAAAGCACAGTCAAGGGTGTCCAAGGACTCAGAGCAATGGGGAGATGAAAAAGAGCAGGGGCAGGGGCAGTTACCTTTAAGTAGGGGATGCTTTCTGCAATCCTGTTCTGTGCCTTCAGAATAAAGCCGTAATGTACTTTAGCGAAGCCATCATTAGGCGTCACATTCAGAACCTACACTCAAAGAGAAGAAAAAAGCCACTGTGATTGACTACAAATGACTGTCAAAACAAATTCTAATTAGCTTTGCTGTACTTGGATCATGATTTACAGCTTAGCACACTCATGTTTTGTCTCATTGCAATAAGATATCTTTGGCTTAAATGGCCCCATTTCCTCTAGACTCAATGTTTTCACACCTACACATCAGCTCTTTAAGAATGAAAAAATAAATGCGAAAAGGCAATGACTGTTAGGGTGTTACTTTAACAATGCAAATCAGCAAAACATCTGTCGATTGTTATGACTTCAACACTTTTTAGTAATCAAGAGAAACTACTTTACATGGCGACGCAATGTGGTAAGTGTAACTATGGTAGGCACGAGGCACGCAGGGGGTACAGAGGGACACCTAGCTCACTCTGGGGTGGGTTTGGCTGGGCAAGGTCTGAAAGGTGTTTAGGGATGGATAGGAGTTCATCAGGGAAAGGGAGCATGGGGGACAGAGGAGGCAGAGGCATTTAAGGCATAGGAGAAAGTGAGTAAAAAGGAGGGGGTGACATTAAAGAGGGCAGGAGGCAAAACACGTGCAAGCAAGATAATCCACTGGGGAGTAGAAAATTGAAATGCTTCTGTCTGCATGTCTTTGAAATGTAATATTTAGTATGCAACAGACGCCAGGGCTGTCCTCTCATCTGCATGGCAGACAGTCGCACGTCGCATTGATACACATGCGATCAAGAAGGGAGGGTGGGCGCTCAGGCGACCAGAGGCTGCCCCCTCTGCTTGATGCGTTATGATCGCCTACTGTGCCCGCTGCGGTTCCCATGTGGCTGCACAACGGGTGTGCAGGTTGGGTCATCCAGCTGTGATCAACAACCCTCCGAAAAGGACAGGTGGCTCTACCAGATCTCTACCAATCCCAGATTGATGCTAATACTAATATAACACAAACTCTCTCTCTCTTTCTCTCTCTCTCGACACACACACGCCACAGACAACACAAAAAATGGTGTAACTGACATTTCTAGTCCCAGCACAAACTCTTTGCATGACATATCGTCAGAATTTAAAAATCATACAATCATTAATAGCACTGCACATTGATGACACTAAATTTTTTTTTCCAGGGAGAATGAAGATACTTTTTGTCAGTTCATTGAAATTTTAAAAGTATCAAAATATCATATCATCTTAAAAAGTATTTTGGAGTGTGTACCTTTTACAACACTCATCATATGTTAATACACATACATGTATACATAATACACAAACGCGCATTTTCCAGGTATTGGCTTGAACGTTTTTTACTGGAATATTACACAATCAAGCGTGCTTGGGAACCACTGAAGGGTTAAAGCCGAGGACGGGCTGGTCCGATTTGTGGCTGGTGTGGATGAAGGTCGGAGGAGACAGGCCTGCTCAGGATAAATGGGTCCTAGTGCAGGCAAGAGATGCCGAGTGTCTGGGTTAAAAATGGAGGGGATTTGAAAGATATTCAGAAGATAAAATTAAGAACAACTAGTGATTTGGTACGGGGCTGGAGGCTCCATGAGGACACACTGTGTTTGCATCATCAGCTGTCATTTCCCAAACTACCGTGGTGGGTACATAAAGGTGTGTTGAGTAAGCGGAGGGGTCCGTCCAGTGAGGAGTAGGGAGAGTCAAGTGGGTGGCTTGGTAACTGGCAGTGTGACTAACTCGAAGGGACACGGGGGCCCCCAGGAGCTGCAGGTGTGAGCAATCTACGTCTAACCATTTTAAAGTCGGTCTCTGTTGAAACTAAACAGCAAAAACCCAGAAAGGGAAAAAGCATACATTTACTCAAAGATAAAAATCAACATGAAAAATATACAATTACGCTATCAGTTTTCTGGAAATGATCTTTGACTGAGCCATAATGTATCAGGATAAACTGTGGTTAAGGAAAGAGAATCCATTAGATACAGCTTATTAACTCTGAAGTGAGAGAGGAAATAAAAGGCAAACCACACACGTATTTTCAGTCTATTAATGCTTCTTTAAAAAGAAACCCACTCAATTATATTAGACAACTACAGTTTAGACTTTCTGCATCCTGTCAAGCTTACTCAGACGGGATTATGATTTTATATGTATAAACAATAGCAGGGAAATTTTATTTTTTCAAGATGAAGTAAAATGTTTCAGTAGCTGAGATTTAGTACCAAGTAAAAAAAGTGAATATATTCAAGGGAGATTTTGAAAAGGTGAGGAAGGATGAATTTGTAGTGGATAAGAGAAACTAGTATGTTTTCAGATCCTGCCCTAACCTCACATGTACCTGGTACCCAGCCAATGCTTGATCACGAGTTTCGGAAGGGAGGGAGGGAGGGAGGGAAGGAAGGAGGGAGGCTACAATTTCATCTATGTGGCCGCTGACAGTGGCAGAATAATGGGTGTATCGGATACAGTTTGACAATTCTTACATTCATACGATCCTGAATCTTTGAGATGCACAATGCATCACTTAACCAACCTTTGCTAGTCAGGACGCTCAGTGTTATGTTTCGTCCATTTGCAAATACAACGCCCCACATGGACGTGGTTCTATGATCTGGACCAGGTACATTAGTGGATGTAGGATCGATCCACTTTGCATAGATATTCGAGATGCTATAAAAAGCAAAGGTCTTATTTATGCTCTCTGAGAAAAGATAAAAATTATGGCAAGGATGAAAAGACAACTGCTCTGGAATTCCATGATTTTCAATGGCACATCAACAGCAATAAAAGGAGGCAAGCACCACTCTATGAGGGGACCATCCCTGGGCTGGGTATGAAATCACTACACTGTACTTGCCAGCATTTTAAAAACAGAAGGATTCATACTGACGATTCCTGAGGAGTAGGTCTTTGATGTAAAGAGCACCAGCTGGGAAACCATAAACGAAATGTGTTCAACCTTCTTTAAAGAGGCATTAACTTTCTACAGCTTCAAAATTCGTTTGGTATCCAGTTTACTCCATATCAAATGAGTTCCCTCATTGCTTGAAGGAGTCACAGTTTTCTAGACTTTATAGTTACTTGTGACCTAGAGGTTATTTATTAAAACATCCATTACAAGGTAGAAATCCTTTTAAAGGCATCGTTGCTAGAGAACCAAAGAGTCAGTGCCCTCTGAAAGGTGAGTAATTTCCTCCACATGCCCGAAAGACTCATGTTCTGTAGCCTCTCTCCAGACTTCTTGAGAGAAAAGGCAAAGATTGTGTTGTTACATTTGTGAAAAACTTGCGTTTCTCTTCCTCGCGTAGAGAACACTTTTAGAAAGGCTGTTTGTGGACAGATAGAGATGGAGTTTTGAAAGTACAATTATAGCTTGAAGGCTTTGATGTACCAAGGGCCAACTAAAATTTAAAATTTGACCAAGGGAAAACCGGTGATGTGAAAATAATATTAAGAAGACGTCAACTATCATAAGACATGCCATTTAACTTAATTTAAAATAAAGACAGTGAGAAATTGGGTGTATTAAGTGCAATTTCCAAATCACATTAGAACTTCACGTTCACAACGATTTGATGTAGTTAACAGGAGACTGCCGCCTGCTCACCGTCTCATAAACCTTCTTGGCGTTATCATTATCTCCTAGCAGCAGATACCCCACTCCGAGGTCATTCTTTAAGGAAGTATCGTCAGGAAACAGTTGAACTAATTTCTGTAGCGTAACCAGAGAACCTCTCATGTGACCTGATTTCACGGGAAGAAAAAAAAAAGAATCCAGTAGAAGCAAAAACCGATTATGTACACTTCTATATTGAGACTAAAATCAAGATAGGCTATTCAACAGAGTCCAAAGACCAGCTTAAATCTGACCCTATAGACAGATAGCTAAGTACCTATTAGGATTCCAACAGGCAATTGTAATGGTATCAATAAAGCCTATCAACAGACACTAAATATAATACTGATTATAAAACTTTAAGACATTCCTGTTTTCTAAATTCACCAACATTTACTTTTTTATATCAAATTCAGTCTTAAGAAAGTTTCAGTTACGAATTCCCTGTAAAAAAAAAAAAAGTTGCACTGAGATATTTTTGGTTTATTAAGATAAGCTTTAAAATTATGAGTAGAGAACAGACAAATTAAAAATCTAACTGATTTCAGGGCCTAGCAAGGGCACTGCTGACATTGTTTCCAAAAGAGAGTGCTCATCTCCAGGTCACGACCTATTCCTGCAGCAGAGACATCATCCAGTATTAAGGGGCCCTCTGGTGGACAACAGGACACTATGCACACATGAATCACGAAAACTCCAGCTTCAATGCATTTTCAAGGCTATCTGATGGAAATTTAAAATTTCTGGGGCCAGTCATTACTCCTCGCAGCAGTTGGGAAGACAAATTGAATAGGAGAAAATATGCGAGATAAGACTAGTATACATGACAAAATTAATTACCTAGAGGGCTCAGTTGCCCACAAGCTGAATATTAGCCAAGAGCATTTTAGGACCATCAATAGCTAATGCCCACTAACAGATAAACTGCTGGGCACAAAACATCACCAGCCTGTCCCATGGCTGGCTCCCCGTTACTGGCCAAGCTGGGATGAGTATGCTCAGCTACTCATTCCTTCACTGACAAGTCTGACTCAGTATCCCTTCATTTGCCCATCTGCCCAGACCAATCTCACACTTTTCTTCTGTTTCTAAACTTTCCTTCTTAACCACTACAAAGCCCCAGGTGAAAATCACTCCTGCTGCCACCTCCCCCCACCGTCCCTTCCACTCCGCATCTTGGCACCCCGCTCTACCGTGCGTGAACTTCGTCACTGTGCCCCCTTCAGTGACATCTTCTGCACAAAATTTCCTCCTCACCCAGAGGAAAAGACTACAGTGAAAGGCTGCTGTGGAAGAGGGCTGGGTTTACTCCCAGGTAAGCTTCCCCCAGGGCTGGGCATGGAGCAAGGCAGGTCAGTCACTCCGTGCAAGTTCAAGAGGGTGCCAAAAATTCAGTAGTCTAGATGAGTGACTTTTATGTATTCTTTTAAAATATCAAAACTAATGTAAAAATCTGTGATAAAGAAAATATCAAAAATTTAAGGACACAATCAGTAACCAGTGCTAAGCAGAGCCATGCTGGAGCCCACGGCAAGAGGACAGCTCAGTAACACTGACTTTGCGCCCAGCACGGGTGCCTCCACCCGAGTCCCCGCCCGGCCTTCCCCACCTGTATGTGTGCTGGACGTCTTTCTTCTCCCGAACTGATCCTTAGGAACATAAATGTAATCGACCATTTCTTCTGTTTTTAATGATCACCTGGGTCATCTTCTATCATAAATTTTGGTCACCTACCAAAGTGACATACTACCTTTAATTCCACCCCTCAGGAAACTGATAAAAAAAGGGTCAGCTGGCCTTGACTATTACATGAGCCTCTCCTAGTGACATCGATAATTCATTCACATAACTTACCCAGCCAGCCTTGCTCCCACCGTGGCATTGGCTTAGATTCTTCCTTCCCAGGTTACAGAACACATGTTAGGAGGTTATGATGAAGGCTAGTGAGGTTATAATGAAGGTAGGTGACAGCTAGTCTCACTGCCTTTGGCTCTGGGAACCTGGGTCACTCCGAGGATATGCTTTATGTTGCTCTTTCCAAAGCCCTTAGTGATATCTAAATTTTTTCCATTATTTTCCTTGGTACAGAGTCAAATCTTACAGGTAAAATTTTAGAGTGCCTAGAACTCTTAATATTCCTCTACAAAAATTGTCCCACTGATCATCTGAACCGCCAAGGCTGTTCTAAATAACGAGTTGGTGCGGCAGGAAGAGTTTTTGATTCTAGACATATTAATTTATTAACTATGTAACTCCTGAGGCAAATTATCCAGCCTCTCGGCATCCCATTTGCCTCAGCGTTAAAATGGGTGGGGTGGAGTGAGGAGGGAAGGGTGGTAAAAATACCACTGGCATCTTTGTAATTATAAAGGTCAGGATTGTTCTTTCAGCCTAAGACCCAGTCAGGTAAAGGACCTGAAATTAGTTCTATAACTCAGGTTTCCTTCCCTGTAACTGGGCTCCTCTAAGAGTACACAGAGCCCTCAGGCTCTTCGAGGTAAAACCATGTCATGTGTTGAATTAACTTTTCTTATTCCATCTTACCTAGAAATTGTTGTCTGTCTGACCGCCGCTTCAGACTCAGCTTCACCAGGTCCGCGGGGACATCGGGCAGGCTGACCACCTCCTGGTAGGTCTCGATGGCCCTGCGCAGCACCTCATTGCTCCTCCTTTTCTCCGCCAAATCGTCTTCACACTAGAGGAAGTCCCACACTGAATAAATGTCCCGTGACAAGCATTATTTTTAATCACCCAAGATAGTCAAGAAAAGTTAACTTCTGTATGTGCTTTAAAATAATTCAGATAGCCCTGGCCGGCGTGGCTCAGTTGGCTGGGCATTGGCCTGTGCATGGAAAGATCGTCGCGTCCCTGCATCAGGGCCTCTGCCCCTCTGCTCCCTCTGCCCCGTCAGCTCCTGCCACACCTTGTCCTTCCCTAGAGACGTCCTTTCTGGTCACCTCATCTGAAGCACTGCCTGCCCTGTCGCATTACCCGAAGCCCCCAAATCTTAACAGGTAAGCTCTTTATCCCATTACCTTCTTTTCTGATGGCATATATTATTGTGTAAGAGGATCTAACATTTATTTTTAACATTTTAGAATATACATTTCTTTATAAAGACTCCCAGGGCTTTGCTCAAATGTCACCTCCTCAGTAGAGCTTTCCCTGCCACCCTATCCCGTATCTCACCTCCCTCGCACGTCCTATGCTCTTCTCTGCCTTCTGTGGTTTCTCCGTAGGCTTTCACCACTAGCGGGCGTATACATTTTACTTATTTGTCTTATGCATTGTCTTTGTCATTACAATGAAAACTCCATGTTTTGCTGACAGCTGCATCTGTGGTGCCTAAACAGGCCTGGCATATAGTGGGTTTTCATTAAGTAATTTCTGAGTAAGGAACTTTTAAAATGTCTCCCGCTGGAAGACGAGCTCCACCAGGACAGAGACCTCTGGAGTGTCCGTGCCAACCCAGGGCCTGAGCAGGATGTAGCTCACACAGGTTTATGCAGCTACCTATAAAGGTGGCAAAGCTTCATGAAGTGAGGAGCTAGAAGATCGAAGAGGGGAGATAAGAACAGAGGTGTGGGAGCGGGGGGCAGGGAGAAGGTAGCTGGTGAGAAAGCGGTCAGCTGGAAGAAACAGTACGGAACCCAAGTACATTCCACTTTAGAGACTGAACGTCTTTCCTAAGCATACTTGCCACCTCTCGTTATAAAACTGAGGTTTTCAAAGCTCTCGGGAGCCTAATGTGCAAATTATATGGTGGGTCTGAGTGGAATGGAATGGGAGGGTGATGGGAAGTCAATGACCAAAGTGTTACTCTTCATTTTCTTTTCAAAACCAGAGAGATACCATATTGGGGGGG